CGCCTCGCACGTCCCGCCGGAGGAGAAAGGGTCCGAGCTGGGAAGCGGACCCTTAGGCTGCGCGCTCAGCCTCGTGCTAGGAGCGGGCGTGCAGGCTTTCGCACAGTCTACCAGCAAAGCGCTTGCTCGTTGCTCCAGGAAGGCCACCATCTCTATCACCGAGAGGGATCGGCCTGGGAACGCGCCCTCTCCGTTGTCGTTCACGTAATGCACCGAACAGTGCTCGATGCCGCAGGCAAAAGGCTCCGGCTGGGAGCACCTGGCGTTCGCCTCCCTCATTCTTTCCAGTTGAATTTTGGCTTTTTTAAGATCCACCGATTTTTTCCTGCGTTTAGCTGTTCTTCCGTCGATATCCCACGTGCTTTTGATTTTCATGGAGCCTAGCCGGCTGTTGCTGCCGCCCTGCTGAGCTGCAAAGAACGCGATCTTCTCCTTTGTATTGCCAGGTTTCACGACAGCCCAGACATCCAGAGGCCCTTCCCCTTCTTCTCCCTGGTGAATCGTTGCAGACAGGGCGTTCTTCTTTTCCCTTGCACTTGGACCATCCGCTGGACCTTTCCCGTTCATATTGCACATAGTATCTGGATAAATAATCCCCACAAGTTTTCGAGACGGAGTCGCGGGGGAGGGTTTTGGGAAAACGCTCCGTTTGGTGCGGTTGTTGGCGTGTTTCTCTTCTTGTGCTGCTCTCTGATGGCTCGTAGGGGAACCTCTCAGTGAATCCTGGCTTATTTCTGGAGATCGCTCTTTCTTCTGGAACTTGAGATATGGCTTTAAGTGCAAACCAGAAACCCTATGGGAAAAAAAAACAGAAAGGGAAGGAGTTAGAGTTGCAAAATATGCCTGCCTGGAATTAGGGAAGGTAGCCCGGAGTAGGCACCCGTCAGGCAGCCCACACCCCAAAAGGAACCACACCACAAAGCCAAAGCAGCAACCAGGCTGCGACATCCACCCCTGGGGAACTGCTTGCAGCAGGATTACGATCTTAAGGATAGTGGAGATCTTCCTGTTAGAGAAATCCCTTCCCAGGGGCTTGCGAGGAGAAATCCTAACGTTTGAAGTTCTATCCCTTGGGCAAACCTAGCTCAAGGTTCCTTTTGGAGTTAGAGGCATCCTGTGCTGTTTAACATCTTTG